TTTGGAATGATGCAGTAAATTACTCTCAACTACTGGAGCAATACATGTACCATAGCACCTTCCCTCGAAAACTGGGCAACAAGTGACCAGTGATTCTCACAACAAAGAACAAAGGTGTGCAAAGTACCACAATTTTTTTTATAAAAAAGAAGGTGGAATTTTCAACAGGTCATGTTTATTACACTGAGACAAAAAAAACACTTTGAAAGCAATAATTTATTGCAAAGTTTCAAGAAAAGAATCCCTCACCGGTATTTTAGATGTCGCTGGGTTTTTTTGCCTACCAAGAGGAAGGGAAAGAATATGTTGACTGCAAGCTGACAATCTGTGGTAACCGGTGACTATTAACCCTTTGAGTACCTGGGAATGGATGGAACCTATGTTTATCACAGTAATCGAATGTATGTGTCTCACTGTCGGAGAATTAACCAGGTCAATAATTTGCTTTTTGCTAGGAAAGCAGCCATGTCCTGCTTCGTGTTTCCCATCAGGAGGTACATTCAGCATTCAAAGAGTTAAGGAGGACTTGACACTGACCTCAGCCCTTTAGCTTGTCATGTCAAACCACCCTGCCCCCTCAGCAAATAGCACAAACCCGCTGTGTACCCACTCACAGGATGAGGGCACCTGAAAGGCACTGTGCCAGCTCGACGTGCTTGATCATTTAGAGAAAGATAAAAATAAATATCATCAACAATAACAGAATGCCAAGAAATAAATACAGACAGATACCATCAAAAAAAGCTCAGGTCGAGGGACACAAAAACAGGAGGGATCAATAAAATAATTGATTAGTTCAGCCCTTTCTGCTGTTGATGTATCCTGGAATCATAGAATCCCTATAGTATGGAAGCAGGCCATTCAGCCCATCGAGTCCACTGTGATGCCCCAAAGAGCATCCCACTCAGACCCTGCCCCTTACCCTATCCCAGTGACCCTGGATTTCCCATGGCTAATTCACCTAGCCTGCACATCCCTTCACACTATGGGCAATTTAGCATGACCAATCTGCCTAGCCTGCACATATTTGGACTGTGGGAGAAAACGTGAGCAAACCCAGGCAGATGCGGGGAGAATGTGCAAGTTCTATACAGATAGTCACCTGAGTATTGAACTGAAATTGAACCCAAGTTCCCTGGTGCTGTGAGGTAGCAGTTGTACCACGGAGTCACCACACTGCCCCAATCCTTCTGGACATCACTTTCTGACTGACGGACCCGTTAACACATTCAGAGGCTTATCTGATGTCAAAACTCGCACTTCATATTGCAATATACAATTTCAGTACCACAGGAAGCCTTGACTGAAACCCTAATTTGTCCTAAATGATCTAATTGTATCTGTCAGGAGAAAAGAGGTGGGGGCGCAGTGGTGGTACTGAATACATTGGAACATAGAAACGTAGAACAAAGGAACAGGAGTCGGCCATTCAGCCCTTCGAGCCTGCTCCACGACTCAGTTCGATTATGGCTCATCATCCAACTCAGTCTCCCCACTTTCTCCCCACATCCTTTTGATCCCTTTAGCCCTAAGAATTATAACTTTCTCCTTCTTGAAAACATTCTATGTTTTAGCCTCAACCACTTTCTGTGGCAGAGAATTCCACAGACTCACTTTTGCCTTGGTGAAGAAGTTTCTCCATTTCAGTCCTAAGCGGCCTACCCAATAGCCCTAGAATATAAGTACATTTATAAGAAACGCACAGTAATGTGCAGAAGGACGCTATTTGACCCATTGGCTGTTCACCAGCTTGAAAGAAGAGCAATCCAGTTTGTCCCATTTCCCACTTTTCTCCCCCCTTCAGACCTGTAATGCTTCCAAGTATGGATCGAATTCCCTTATGAAGACTTCCACTGAACTGCCCTTCAGCTATTGGTAACAGTTTCAGAAGAGCAGGCAGAGTCTTTCCCATCATCCAATGGGAATGGGATGTAAATGCTCCCGTCCTCCCTCCTTCACCCCCCACCTCCACTTTCTGACGTGATCAAAGATACCTGTGTCACCGTGTCAGTCAGCAGTTCCCACGAGAAAATGAAATGAACTGGGGAGCAAACAATTATTGCCTTTGGGGGATGAGCAAGTGACCTGTAATTTCAACCCCACATTCCAGGATTGACCGGGAGTTTCCAGGAACTTTTTTTATTCATTCATGGGATGACAGCGTCACTGGCTAGGCTGGCATTTATTGCCCATCCCAGAGGGTAGTTAACAGCCAACCACATTGCTGTGGATCTGGAGTCACATGTAGTCCAGACCAGATAAGGATGGCAGTTTCCTTCCTTTAAAGACATTGTTTTCTGACAGTTGGCAATGGTTTCATGATCATTAGACACTTAATTCCAGATTTTTGAAAGTTAATCTGTGGGACTCTGCTTGAAGCTAAAATTCCTGAGGGAATTGTGATGGTATATCCCAGAGGGAAACAAAGAATGGTTAGAAAAACCCTGTAAAACTTGGAAGTAAACATTCAGTGAATGTCCTTTTTGAAGCATATAAAAAGATTCAGACCAGTGTATGTCACAAACACACTGTACTGGTTTCTCCTTCTGGGTAGCTGACTTCTCCACAAACACTTGCCTTTGTTTATTAGTTTATAAGATATTGCAGATAGCGATGGGGGATGAGGGGGATGTGTCGGGAGGGGATGGGAGCAGGTTGGAGAAAGTGACTGTGTGACTGATTGGAGGAGTTTGGAGGTGAGTGGTGAAACCTTCAGGAATATATCCTGCCAGAGTAGGAGATGGGGCTTTAATAGTGACACAGCACAGTGGTCTAGGACAGGTATTTTCCTATGCAGATACTCCATGTCGAGCTTTCTGGATGAAGGCTGTCTTTCTTCAAAATCCAAGATGCATCTGAGACTTATCAGAGGCCTTGCTCTCTGTTACAGTCAGCTGGTTTATTGCAGCGTCGGGTGGTGTTCCTGCTGGCTCTCCTGGTTGAATCATATCAAGACCAGGTTTGAGGCCTTGTGTAAAAAGAAAGCCTTGTACAAGTCGTACCATCCTAATCCAATTTTCTCAGGTTGATCACGTCTGTGTTCCAGCATCTGCTCTCCTTCCAGCACCCTCAGGATTTACACTCAGTCTATGCTTAACATTAAGCAGAAGGATTGTGAGCACCATGGAGACTGCAACACTGACAAAATGCTGGAACTGTACTGACAGGTAACGAGATACAAACATATAAACAAGGAGTGAAATAGGTTACTTTGTCCTTGGAGCCTGCTCCACCATTCAGTGAGATTGTGGCTGATCTGATTTTAACCTCAACTGTACATTTCTGCATATCCTGATAATCTTCCATTCCCTTGGTCATTAAGAATCTATCGACCTCCACCTTAAAAATATTTAAAGATTCTGCATCCACTGCCTTTTGAAGAAGGGAATTCCACACTCAGAACCTTCTGAGAAAAAAAACCTTTTTCCTTTCTCTATTTTAAATGGGCACCCCCTTGTTTTTAAACTATGACCCCTCGTTGTAGAGTCTCCCACAAGAGGAAGCATCTTTTCCACATCCACCTGGTCAAGTCCCCTCAGGATCTTCTATGTTTCAATCAAGTCAATGCTGACGCTTCTAAATTCCATGTTTAACTCTACAGTTTAAACATGTCATCTTTATTCTCCAAAATAACTGCTTTTCGTTTCACTTTATGTTGCACTGCGCTTTCTAAAGATGTTTAAAAAGCCAACTCTGACACATGACCTGCCCATGATTTGGCAAATTCTCTGGTCCAGCAAAGGCCTAGTACCAAGGCTGCAGGACTAGGAACCAACTGTACTCAGAAATAAACATAGGCCTTGGAAGGTTCAAAACAACTTGTGCCAATGTGTCCTACTGTGATGAAATGCTGTTCTCAGCACAAAGGTTCACAGGAATTTGGGCCTAAATGGCTAACATCTATTTTACATCACACTGAAATTCCCAGGGCCTCAGTTTGTGTGTTATATTCATGCCTGCATTGTCCATGAGAAGATTGGGGGGGCGTGGAGGGTGGTGGGGGGGGGGGGGGGGGGGGGGGGGGGGGGGGCGAGTTTCCTGCATTAACATCTGTTCTGCATGAGAACTAAAGACATACATCTTAAGTTTCTGAAGTGAGTTTGCTATAAGTTGACTTATGTCTTTATTTCTCCCCATCTGAAATCCACACTGTATTCTCAGGAATCCAAAGACATTTGGATGGCATCAGAATGAGAGATGTTCAAAATTGGAAGGTTTCCTTAACTAAGGTTTTTAAATGTTTGCCTAAAATGCATGAAGGGAGGTTTGATAGCTGCAAATTTTAATTTTTCACCCACAAGAGAGGAATTATGTTCAAGTTTCATTGGGGCCCAATTGTTTACACTGATTTCCTCCTACATCACATGCAAATTCTACTAATAATATTGTCTGAGATCTCTTGACGTAAATTGCTGACGGCAGGATTGGAATAAATTTTGACACTGCATGCTGGTTGGCATCAGCTGAGGGTCTGTTTTACCCCAATGATTCTGCTAACACCCGGGCAGCTTTTGTTCTGAAGTATTCATGAATGATTCCAAAGCACAACACTACCACCTGCTGTTGAGAGGAGAAACATTTCTGTACCTACACAGGAATTGTTTTTGTTTTGGATCACTGATTAAAACCATTGATTAATTATTATCTGCCAGCTGGGTATATTTCTGAGACAAATTTGTAACACAGCAGGGACTAGTATCAAAGTAAATTGCAGGGTCAGATTTGGCACACCAGTTTTAATTGTGAGCACTAGCACACAAAGGGCATACAGGGCTCACTAACTTCAATAGAGAGGGAAGTCAGGAAGAAAGATGTATTAACAAGCAACTAATCCAGTATAAAAGTACAAATATCACATTTTAAGCCGAAAGATGCAGAACACAGGTTTATTGGCTGGATGGTTGGTTTACGATGTAGAGTGATGCCAATAGTGTAGGCTCAATTTTCATACCAACAGAGGTTACCATGAAGCTGCCACCTTCTCAAGCTCACCCCCTTGCCCAAGGCATGATGACCCTGAAGTGAAACCGCCGCCAGCCATCTGTCTATAAAGAGAGAGTGGGGCTATGGAGAATTTATGAAGAACATGAGAAACAGGAGCTGGAAGAGGTGATTACAGTCCCTCAAGCTATTCAGGAAGATCATATTTGATTCACCCTCAAATTCTCAGTGCAAGCCCATTTATGAGATCCATTTATCCTTTTTACTCAATTTCAAGTTCATCAAATGAGGCCGAATCCCTGATTCCTTATCCACTGGTCAGTTTCCTTCCCCCTCCATCCACCTCCATTCTGCCCCCAGAAAGTGCCCAGAGGAAGGATCTATACAAGTTACTACCTGAGCCAGTCATTTTAAATGGACAGTATCTGCCTGTATTTAAACAAAACACATTTAACCAATTGCACAAAACATTCTCAGTCCCTTTATCGATGTAGAGAACCAATGGAGGTAAAATACAAGGCTACTATTTGGGCTGAAATGATTAACTGTTCATGGTGTCAAGTGGGTTTGGGTGGAGGCATAATGCCTGCAGACTAGAAGTGTAGTGGGAGCTGAAGACACTGAGAGGTGGGGTTGGAAGCAGGGCTGGGGGGTGGGGGTGTAGTTGGGACAGGATGGGGAGGAGGTGGGTTGTGAGGCTTTGTCGTGGAGTTTCTGTGTGGTGACACCTGAAGTGCGCAGAAGGCCTTGGACCCTGCTGAGCCTGTCCGTGGCTAGTTAAGGATCCCACTCATCATCATGGTGCTGGGCAGCAATGACGATGACCACTGTCAGGATGGCACAGAGGACCATAGAGGCAATGCCCACAGCGAGGCTGATGAAGGAGAAATTCCGGGCTTCGCGGGAGGCGATCTCCGCCGACACCATGTCCCCCCGTGCGATGGCAGCCCGTACCTGTTCACGGAGAGAGGCGTGGATGTTAGCCATTACTGAAATACGCCGCATAATAAAAAAAAGTACCTCTGTCATGATTGGAGCCAGAGGAATGCACTCACTCGGTTTGCCAACTCTGGTTAGAAATATTCCTGGAGGATTCACTACAGACTTTCCGTCAAGTCGTAGGGGTCCCCAGCCCAGAAGAAGGCCCTTCAGCCCATGCAGTGTATGCAGGTCAAAAGTAAGCACCTATCTATTCCAATCCCATTTTCCTGCGCTTGGCTTTGGCATTACAAGTGCCTACCTGAATACCTTTCATAATATTATGAGGCATTCCTCCTCTCTCACTCTTATAGACAGTAAGTTCCAGAATCCCACCAGTTTCTGGATGAAAATAATCTTCCTCACATCCTCTCGAAACTTCCTGCCCCTTACCTTAAATCTATGCACCTGGTCATTGATCCCTCCACCAAGAGGTAAAGCTCCTTCCTGTCTACCCTCATAATGTTAGGCATCTCAAAGTTGCCCCCTCTCAGCCTCTTCCTCTGACTCCCGCTGGCTCTTGTCTCTGGTCTTGTCTTCCCAATTGGAAAGGAAACAAACTTTTTTTCTAATGGCTTAACTGGATCATTTGTGACCAATGTGGAGTCTGATATTTTTGTAACTAAGAGGGAAAACTTTCAAAGAAATTGAAGATCAAGACCCAACAATTCCCTTTTAATTTCCCCACAGTGATTTTTCTCCCTCGGATTCTTTCCATGACTTGGAAATTAGCCTGCAATTCTTGGAGAGTCCAGATCAATCCTGGAGGCCAATTAACATCCTGGCACTCACTCGTGTCAGGAGCATTTCTCCCGAATTTATTTGCCTCCTGGTTTGGGCTGACCAATTCCACACACCCAAGTTTCTCAATGGGCTTTCCCAGAGCACGTCAGGATAAGTGAAGTGAAATGTACCAACCTGAGTAGGGTCAGGGAACTGATGGGTTCCAAAACTCGGGGTTGTCAAGCCAAAAAGTGGACATGAATACATCCAAGAGGGAATTCAGCAGAAATATCTTCATTAGTGAATTGTAAAAATTTGCTACCACACGGAATAGTTGAGGTGAATAACATGGATGCAATTAAGGCGAAGCTCAGTAAACAAATAAAGGACGAGGAAAGAGAAGGCTGAGATGCAATACTGTGGGATGCTTATGGACAGTACAGGTGTGTGGGCCAAATGGCCTGGTTTTGCTGCTAATTCTATTTCTATGTGAAAAATAGCCAATATTCCTCAGCCTATGCCACTCACTCATCTCTTATGGGCCTTTATTAATCTTCATTTTTTACTTGGGGTGTGGTAACTGTCTGGGAAATTTAATACTTTCCTCTCTTTCCATCCAATGAAAGGACAAAGTAGACTTGACGGCAAACTTCCCATTTGGGATCGACTTTGGATTCGGACCACGTAGATTTGAGGGCAAGTTGCCAATTTGGGATTGATTTTTGGAATTGAAAGCAGGGAAGTTAATGAAACTGGAAAACAAACTCTATTAGGGAGCTAGGGTTTGATAAAATAGCAGCCTTGCAATAAGCCTAAACTGATAGAGATCGATGAGTTAAGCCTCAATTAAAATATTAAATCCAGTCCTGCTTACTGTGGCTCAAAATCGAAAGATTTGGGTATGTGGAATTGCTCAGTCCAAACCTGCAGTAATCGCAAAAGAGGAAACAGAATGATGAGAACGTGGAAGGATTGGATTGTGAGGTCTGTGGGCAGGCTCATACTGGGAAAGAAATGGTTGCTAGGTGACTCGACTGCTGTTTTTAGGAGATTGGTTGACGATAAACCATGGGAAGCTCTGTCACCTTCTCTGTAACAATTGAACCAGAGGACATGACCTGCACTTGAAGGAGATAAAATCAAATCAAATCTGCAGAAACAATATTTGAGAAAGAGTCTGAGTGATCAATCTGTGGAATAGATCCTTCGGGAGATGATGGAAGCTGTCAAGCTTTGATTAGTTCATTCTCAAATTAAATAGGGGCTTTTCAAGAAATAACATTTGGCATTGCCATAATATAACCATTTGAAGCTATAAATATTGTTTAAATAAAAGGAGACAGGCACAAAAGTGGCTGTTAATTTTGAATATAAAAGTGCATTTTTATAACTGCGATTTCGGTGGCTGTTAAAATAACTCCAGAGAGGGCGGTATCCCATTACCAAGTCACCCTTTATTTACACATGGAAAGTCCTTGACACTGACCCAGCTCCCTCAGAGCCAGCTCTCGGAGTCACAGGATGTCTGACATTCCTGTTTTTATCTGTCAGCCAGGACAACCTGATGGGGGCTTTTGATCTGGTCCAATCAGGGAACTCTTATCCTATGAGGTCCACCTAGCTGACCTCATTACAATCACTACATCCCTCCCCCTCTGAGTCCGAGGACATAGGCTGGTTCTTTTTTCTTGAGCTTCTCCTGGGAAGTTTGAGGACCAGGTCTGCCTTGGATACGGGCGGTATGTAATGCACAGTAGCTCGCTTCTTGTGCCTGAAGTATCTTGGAAGAAAACTGTAGGCTGTTTCTTTAAGCCTGCCTTCAAAGTTTAGACTGCTCTTTCTGCTAGGCCATTGGACAGTGAATGGTATGGAGCTGTCCTTATATGTTGAATACCATTCGACTTTAGGAGGTACTCAAATTCCCAAACGATGGGCTGTTTTCTGTGATCAACATTTCCGGGAGTCTGTGTATGGCAAACGATGTGCTCAGTTTTTCTATTGTCATCCCCATGTTTGACAAATGAACTCTATGCATGTCCAACCAGTGGGCATCGACAACGACTAAGAACATTGAGCCCATGAAAAGACCTACATAGTTTACATGTAACCGAGTCAGGGTTTACCTGGCCATTCGCATGAAAATGGGTGAGCAGCTGGTGGTAATTTTGCCATTGTTGTCACTCTGGGCATTGCCCCAACAATGCAGCTTTGCCTGCATCTAATTCTGACCACCAGACACAAGTTCTCACCAACATCTTCATTTTGCAAACCCCTGGATGACTCTGATGGCGTTCAACCAGGTATCTGGTTGCGACCTTTGTTCAGGACAGTCACACTTGCTTCCCATAATAATACGCTGTCCTCCACAGTGATTTGATCTCTCCAGGTCCAAAAAGGTTTCAATTCTGATTGCGATCATCCTTTGATCTTCTCCATCACCACCAGATGTTGCAGTTTTGCCATGACTGGATCTTTCTAAGTCCAAGGTCTAATATTGTCAGCTGTGCCTGGAAGCATGTCCAGAAAATGTAAAACCTTTACAGACTCTTCCAGTGGTGGTACCACCAGTGGCTTATCTGCCAGCAGGAGGCAGCTCAATGCATTTACTTTTGCTACTTGGACTCCTGGACGGTGTTCCAACTTGTAATTATATGCACTTAATATTAGGGCCCACCACTGAATTGGACTGAAGCTATGGGCAGCACTGTCTTGTCTTCCTAATGTAGACCTAGCAGGAGTTTGTGGTCTGTTATTGTTACAAATTTACATCCATAAAAATATTGGTGGAACTTCCTGACTCCAAATATGACACCTGAACCTTCCTTCTCTATCTGGGCACATTTACGCTCTGCATTAGCCAAAGTCCTGGATGGATATGCTATTGGGCGTTCCTCTCCATTGGGCAACCTATGAGCTAATACTACCCAGACACCCATATGGGGAGGCATCGCATGTCAATATCAGATCTTGCTTGGGATCACATTGTGTCAACATTTGAGGATGATAGCTATTTCTTCACTTTCCTGAAAGCTGTGGCTTGGCTACACAACCATTTCCAAGGCTGACCCTTTTTTAAAGAGTTGATACAAAGGTGCCAGGATGGAGGGCAGGTTATGTATGAACTTTCTGTAATAATTCATCAGCCCAACAAAAGACCTAAGCTCTGGTACAGTCTTGGGAGCCAGGGCACCTTTGATCGCCCACACTTTATCTTCCAATAGGTGTAAACCGGTCTTGTCGACTCTGTAGCCCATACCAAATGGTCGCTCAGCATCTCATCAAGGATTAAACCAAAGTCACATGCCTCTGCCAGTCGCGTTAACCAAATCAAAAATCTCAATATGTATTCCCCTGGTTCTCAAATTGCCAAGTAAAACCAATAGTTTCTCAGTATTAGAGAAGGCTTGGAGTTGTAATATTCCTTAACTAAATCTGTCAACTCTTGAAAGGTTTTAGTACCTGGTGCCTAAGGGAAGGTACCTAATAGCAAAATAAGCTGCAGGTCCACAAGCTGTCAGGAGAATTATTCTTTGCTTTTCTTCTGCCCCAATGTCATATGCTTGGAAATAATAATGCATTCTTTCCACATACTGCGCCCAGTTATCGACAGCAGGATTGAACAAGTCAAGCTTCCCAAATAACAGCATGATGCCAGAAAAGCTTACCCCCAACTCCAAGACAACTGTTGCCAGCAAATTTCTTCAGGACGTGATTTTTTCTCTCATAGCCACTGAAATAACTCCACAGAGGCTGGTATCCTGTCACTAAGTCACCTTTTACTTACACGTGGAGAGTCCTTAACACTAATCGATCTCCCTCAGAGCCAGCTGTCAGAGTGAACAGGGTGTCTGACACTCCTGTTTATTATCTGCCAGCCAAGGCTCCCTAATTTAACCAGATTAAAAACCCCAATCAGGGAACTCATATTCTATGAGGTCCACTTCGCTGACCTCGTTACAATCACTATGGCTGTGATTATGCTGGTTCCAGCTCTACTAAGGCCTCGGCCCAGCTTTGGTTAAATCTGTGAATGTCTGTCCAGAGATCAGTTTGCCTTTCCAGCCATGTAACCCATGCCCATTGCTCGGACGGTGTGATTAAGCAAAGACTCTGGAACATGGAGCTAACCATCTGATTTTGGAGCTTTGAGTTAGATGATGACCTAACAGATCTGCTTGGATCATTTCAGTCCCTCTGGTAGTTTAGACTTTTCTGTCACAGTTTGATACAACTGAGTTGCTTGTCTGGCCATTTCAGAGGGAAGAGTCACATTGCTATGGGTCTGGAGTCACATGTAGACCAGACCAAGTTAAAACAGCAAGTATTCTTCTCACCCATTTCATGAACCAGATGGCCTTTCACTACAATTCAGTAGTTTCATGGTTGCCATTACTCATACTTGTTTTAGGGTCTAGTTTTTTTTTTAGTTACATTTACATTCCAACAGCTGCCAAAATGTGATTTGAATCTGTGTACTGAGAACATTAGCCTGAACCTCTGGGTTACTGGTACAGTAACATTAATACCAGAGCATTGCTCCCTCTATCAAGTTTTGCAGTGGCATTTTCAAGATGGTTATAATGCCTCGGCAAGGGGGAAACAGCTTGTTGTAAAGGCAAAGGATGTCTGAGGCAGCATTTACCACAAACCTGACAAATAACCTGAAGCAATGATTCATCCAGGGGTTATACTGCATGGTGATGTCTATGTGATGTTCCCATGAAATGAGATGCTGATGGTGAGATTCCCTACTTGAACAACACTCTAATGGGGAACCTGGCTCCTCACATTGGGACAATAAAGGCTAAAACCTTCAATCTAAAAAGCAGACCAGATTCTGCATTGCATGTTACATTTACAGATCACCAGCTGATGCTTACACATGGTCAGAGAGAAGTCAGAATGAACTCACCTGTACAGCTTTAAATATGGCAAAAATCCCAGTTGGCCAGAAACAGCACACTGTAGTCAACACTGCAATGGGTAAGTAATCGTGAGGGGGTCGTGGAGGGTTCACTATGGTGACGTTTGCTGGCATCTGCTGGCCACCTGACACGACTCCGTTGTTTCCTGGGAGATACAACCCCACATTCTGAGGAGAGGAGAAGCACGTTATCTAATTGTTCACATCACTCAGTCTGCTCCTGCAGGTAGAGGAAGAGTGAAGGCAGCCCTGAAATTCCTGGCCTCTCTCCCAGTGAGGAATCAGTGATCTGGATCAGGCCACAGAGACTGGAGATTGTCCAGGCCCCAATACTGAGATTACAGCCATTGGTCCCCTCCAGTACTGGCCCTACCAGAGCTATCAAGGTGATGATATCCAGTTTGCATGGGCAATCGCAAACAAAAGACACTATGGCAATATTTCTGGTGTCCATTCTAACCCCATGTTTGGAAAATTCACAATCAGTGGTCGCGCATTCCTAGTTTTCCCTTTCCCCCCACTTACACAAACCACCTCCACCCAAAGCCCAACTTTAGCTCTCCTTAATCCCAGCCTTTGGCAATAAATGCTGGCCCCGCAGTGAAGCCATATCCCCACAATGAGCAAACAGGGAAGATGTGAGCTAAGTGCTGTTGCTCTCTCCTGCTCTTCCCCCTCTGCCTTGTTAATCTCTCCTGTGAATATATCACCACAATATTCTAGTGGAACTTATAAAATCTAAATGGTAAGCATATCCAATTTCAGTGATATATTCTAACATTCCATCAGGTTCTTTGAACTGTTATTCCACATTGTCTATTTCCCCTACTCCCATTTGCTAAATTAAACACATATTTGGGATATATATTTTCTTAACCTGTGGAAATGCCACACATTAACCAGTGTTAAGTAGCATCCTCCTGTGCCATCAAAGATCAGTGTACAGACTGGTAAATCATCTGCTGTCTTACTGTATTATAAGATAGCGTTCAACTTGCTAATGACTTCTTAATGGTCACTTGTTAGGGGTAATAATCATGAATGGAAATTCAGACATGCATGTCTCCCAGTTTATCATGAGTGAAAGGGTGAACAAATCTCCAGCAGTTATATCCGCTGCTCTCAGTTTAAAGTGAAGAAGAGAGGTGTAGGAGGGAGAAATGGAGGAAGGAAGAAATAGATGAAGACATGGATGATATAAGGGATGGATGGAAGAAGGAAAGAAGGATGTGAAGATGGAATGGATGGAAGCATGGAGGAAGAAATCGATATAGTAATGGAGGAATAAAGGAATGGACAAACAGAGGGAAGAAGGAAGGAATGGATGAAAGAAGGGATGGATTAAAGAAGGAAGGAACGGATGAAGGAAGAAAGAAAGATTTTTGTTGCATCTTTCACAACCTCAGGATTTCAGGAGCAGATGATCTGTTTTTAAAAAAAATGATGGTTGAAGGATAATTATTGGCCAGGTCATCATAGCAAGTTTGCTCCTGCTCTTCTTCAATATAGTGACCATGCTATCTTTTCTGTTCACAGGAAAGGACATTCCATGCAAAACAGAGGTTAGGCAAATCTGTTCAATTAATCCTCACCTGTCAATCCAGCTAGGAGGGGAAAGGGAGGAGGTTGTCGCTGCAGGGGAGGTGCACGGGGTAGATCACCATGTAGCAACCTGATGCAAGAAGCCTGTCTGATACTCCTCTCCTTAAGCTTTTACAGTGCTTAATGCTGCAGCCAGCCTTACTGAAGTCAACATAGACCACAGGATGTAAGCTGGTGCACACTGGTCTCTATGATTTGCTATAATGCTGGGTTACTGGAAGAAATAAAGAAATACCCCCCAACTTGCAATTGATGGAATTCCAAGGGACTAGAAGTTTCCAATCCTCTGAATCTGCACCATAAACGCTCAATTTGACAGGAGAAACTGTATGCATCGAGGTGACACTGAAAGTTCATGCAACACAATGATTAATATCCACTTGGTGCTGGATTAAACCTTTATTAGTAGCAATCTCAACTTTGAGTTAAACTCAAACCTAGCTCTGTGTATTGCAAATCAGTCTCTGATTGCTTTCACTGTTGGCACTGTTTTCCAGCTGTAAGATATGAAGTCCATTCTAACCACATTGGTCCTACACAGGCAATATGTGGTGTCATTGCCACACACCAATGCCCTATCCCCAGGCCATTCCTCTTCGTTCCTGTGATAAGCTTTGTGCGAGCGTCTTACTCACATTTGTCATTGGATAAACCGGTACGTAGGCAGCACAGGGCTGGTACTGCATGGGGTAGCCTTGGTGACCGTACCCTGCTGACCCCATCGATCCTGCTGGATGGTTCGCGGGTACGGGGTATCCTTGCGATGTGCCATTGAACTGTGTCTCCTGGATGAAGCCTTCTGTGCCCAGTGTCATTGTGGAAGTGTGCATTGGCATGGAATAAGCTGGCGATGTGCTGTTTGTTGGGGCCTCCTGCACTGGGTAAGGCGGAGGTGACATGGGAGTTTGGTGTCCTCCATCCTGTAAGGCTTTAGGAGAGAACAAGGTTAGAGTTGAACAGCCTGGCTCTGGTGAAACTCTGCTGCTCAATGACATCACTCTTGCTTCAACTCCCTATTATCATTGGACAATGACACAGCAAAACAATTGCTCTTCTTGTTCACAATTCTTTCCTTTCCTCCCTTTGTCATGCCCCTGATTAGCTGGACCAGTGCTCCTCTCTCACCTTATCCATCTTGTGTGTTTGTTTAAACCTGTGGTGTTATTATCAGCCAGCAACAGAAGTTGCTGACTGAGGTATTCCCTACTCTGATACATGAGCAGCCAGTCTCACAGGCGTATAAAGACATTCAAGAACAAGGGGCAATATCAAGGAGGAGTCATATTTTAAAACAAAAAGTTATGATCTATAATCTCATGGTGTCCCAAAGTGTTTCACAGCCAATTAACAGCTTGTGTAATAAAGTGGCTCTCTTAACATTGGAAACAGCCAATGTGCACACAGCAAAAGGGGCACTCATCCATCCACTCACAAACAACATGTGACTCCTCATCCAGGAGACACAGTTGTTACAGTTCATAACCATCTTGCTGTTGTATTCTACGCCCTTACTAATAAAACCCAGGATACTGAATGTCCTCATGAACTCTCTCTCTAAACCTTACTGTCAATGACTTCTGCACAGATCACCCTCAGATCATCTCTACTTCTGTTCCCACTTTGGAATTGTACCCTTATGTCTCTCGGTGTTCTTCTGATCAGAATGAATCACTTCATATTTTTCTGCACTGAATTTCATCCACCAATTGTCTGTCTATTTCACCAGCCTGTCAATGTCCTTCGAGGCTGTCCTCCTCACAGTTAATGTTACCAAGCTTCGTGGGGTCAGGAGAAATTTCAGAGCTTTACAATAATCAAGTGCATCTGAGTGTAATCATACTTCCAACACAGCAGTTAAACTGCATTCCAACAGACATCAATATGAAATATGTGGTTCTGGGTGGGATGCTCTGAGGGTCGGTGTGGACTTGTTGGTCCGAAGGGCCTGTTTCCACACTGTAGGGATTCTATGATTCTATGACTCTATGAAATTGACCAATGCTTCTATTGATGCTGACTGAGGAACAAATGTTGATGAGGATACCAGGAAGAGCTCCAATATTCCTCTTTAAGTACAGGTTGTGGGAATTTAACAAGGGCACACAGGGTTTAGTGTCTCATCTAAAAGCAGCACCTTTAGCAACCCAGCTGTCCCTCACTACTGCACTAAGAACATCAAACCTGCAATCTCCTTCATTGGGAACTGAACCAACAACCTCAGGCACAGGATCTGCAGTTAGTAGCTGCAAATCCGAAATGTAGGAAAGGTCAACAGTGTTTTACCCTGGTAAAGCATTTCCCTGGCACAACAAATTAGTTCGTCTTTGATATTTGGTCTTCTCATTAGCTGGTGAAAGCTCTTCTTAAATAAAGCTTTGTTCCTGCCTTCAAAATAGATGGCTGGAGCTGAGAGAGAAAGGAAAGAATGTGTGCTTGTGCTATAATTCTCCTTCACTACCAAAAGTCCCAAAGGATTTGCATCCCGTAAAATACCCTCTGAAGGACACTCACTGCTACTACATGGGGAAAGATGGCAACCAATTTGTGTGCAGAATTACACATGGTAATATATTAAATGCTCAGTAGCCATGATAATTCCCGAGTTCAACATAAGCCAAACCTTTAAAGAGACAATAATGACCTTTACTTTGTTAAAATCCATTCTCGGAATGGAGCATGGCTGGTAAATTTACTGTCCCTCCCCAGTTACCCAGATAATATGAAACTGGACTGCCCTGAATCAATGTAGTCCATATGATGGAGGTCTTTTGTATTCTTTGTCACAATTTAATACAACAAGTAGGAGTTAGATACAAGCTAGGCCAGGTAAAGACTATAGATTTCTTCCCTGATAAATGACAAACCAATTATCTTCATGGGCTCTTTTGTTTGACCATTTTTTTTAAAAGATTGTGTCCAAATTGTTGCAATGTCTATGGTAGGGAGTTGGTTCTGGTGAGGGTCTTGGAATTATAGCTTACTGCCGGCCGGCCGACAGTGCCATGTACTGAACCAGACCAATACTTGAGAGGGGAAGTGTGGAAAATGGCTACTTACCAGTCGATGAGGTCTTAGATAGACCTGATGTGTTATGATGGAGAGAAAAAGAAAATTAAATGGAATTGGAATACTGAAAAAGCAACAAAATATGACTGGAAACAGGAATTGAAGAGAGATAGAGATAATCAGAAATGCCACTCTTGATTGTAACTCAAACTTGTAACTTGGGAATAGGGTGAGTTCAGGTCTTTGTTTTTTTTACTCTCTACACACTGCCTGGGTTTTATCCACTGAGCCTACAATGCAAGCACAAGAAAGATGTGTGATGGAAAGTTGCCTCTTTCCTTCCAAGCCAGTTAGGTGCAAATCGAGGCCAGCTCTGCATGTTTTTCTTTAACTGGGCAGCAACACTGTCTGTTAACTTGTGCCTTTATTCCTATGACACTAATGTCGTTTTCAGACTGGTAGTGCAGAAACTAAAGTCAAATAACATTGCTGAGCCCAGGGGAATAGGATTTTGTAGGATGCATTGGCTAAAATCTAAGGGTTAGAAATATATTCTGATTGAGGTCAGTTGAAAAGCAGCGAGGCTTAAAATACCACAGACGTCCTGAAAACCAATTCTGCATACTTGGAGCTGCACTGTCCTGTATTCACACAATGCTTTGACTGCTATTATTTTAAATATTATCTAGCTAGGCAAGTTTCATAAAACCACATGACTTCATTCAGGCAAGGAAGCTGATCTCCTGAATACCCCCCAAGTTGGCTTAGATTGGATGTTACAAGCCATGATGAAACAGTTTCTCTTCCTCACGCTGTCCTATTTAGCACTGAAACTGATCCAGGACTGTTGAAGTGAAAGAAAACTGTTGAAAGGAAACGTAAGATTACAATCTGTGCATTGGAAACTGTTGTTTCAGAGCCAGGAAGTAACAACACCAATGACAACTTGCATTTTACACAAGGCTCTGAACTTAATATAATGTCCAAAGCAGTTACACTGTGGCAATGATCAAAATTTGACACAAAGCTAATTAAAGAGAATTTTTATTCATTCACAGGATGTGGCCTCACTGGCTGGGCCCATCACTTGAGGAGGTGATAGTGAGCTGCTTTCTTGAACTGCTACAGTCCATTTGGTGTAGGTAGACCCACAATGCATTTAGGGAAGCATTGCCAGGATAGGTAAGTAAAAAACTGGTCAACAAGGTAGGTTTTAATGAGGTCTTGAAAGAATACAGTGAGATTAGATTAGCAGAGAGGTTTAGGGAGAGAATCCTGACGTACAGGGCTCAGGCAGCAGACAGAACCGCACCTAATGGTGGTCGTAGTGGAAAATCAGGAATGAGCGAGAGGCTAGAATCGGAGGAGACTGCTACCTTTGGTTGGGGGGAGGGATTCAGGGTTTTGAGGAGATTACAACGATAGGAGGGTCAGGGCTAGGGAGGAATTTGAACTTAAGAATGAGAATTTTAAAATGCAGGCAGCAATTAGCTCATCAGTGAATCATTACCTTTATTCCTATGACACTAATGTCCTTTGGGTTGGGTTGAATCTCTGGAGATATGAACATGAGACTTGGCATAGCCCTGACTCCACAACTACCATCATTGGCCAGCTGACATGTTTACTATTGTCGTTCCCCCAGCTTTCTATGTCCCATTGGAAAGCAAATAGACTGTTGATACCTATCTGGCAAATGGTTTTTATTCTTTTTATCCTCAAACTGTAATACTTTTTGCAACTAAATAAGTAAAATGATCAAAGGAAATGGAGGAAAACCCATCTATTTTTAATGATCCTGTGGTTCGTTTCTCAGGTTTGCACACAAGGAGTGTCCAGGAGATGAATTTTACTGGACTCCTGAACCCCAACACATGCATCCTAACTTAAGGGAAAGTCACCACAGCCCTACTGGACCATAGTGCTGCTCTCTCAGAGAGAGACAACTGGTGGTAGTTTAACCTGAGGGTCAGCATACATCAGGTGAGGGGAGAGGTTGAGAGCGTCCTTCAGGGTAACCTCTGCTGGTGATAGGAAATGAACCCACGCTGCTGGCATCACTCACCAGCCATCCATCCAACTGAGTTAGCCAACTGAAGTATAGAAGGCACACATATATATGCGTACACACAGGGCACACTAGTTACGAAATACCAATCATGTATAGTCACATAACAATCCTCAGCTCCACTTGTCAGGAAATAGTCAAACAGCATAACCAATGTGCAAAAGCTTATAGTTGACTGGTAACATTGCCAGAGAAACCTCCACGCTGTCCTATTGCCGGAGGAATGGTGGCCTAGGATGTTTTGTGAATGCCAGGCATCCATATACTCTAGCAGCAACAGAGTATTGGATGACACACACAGACACCTCGTGCAGTCACATTAGAAATGGGCATGCAACAGGCTTGGCTGGAATGGGACAGCAAGTACCAGCTCTACCAAGCTGTGGTTACACTCTTACCTACACAGTGCTGACAAAAACTCCACTGTGACTGATCCCACCCCTAGACGACCTCCAGGCCTCATTAAGAGCAGTAGCTCATCAAGAGTCGGACAGGGGTCAAGGGGGGAGGTTAAACCTCACTGAACCTTCAGATCAACTTAGCTTGCCTCTCAGGACCACTTAAAGTGTGTTCCTTGGAGGATAGACAAAACAACCGTTAGACAGATGTTATATCACAGAATTATTTCATTTCTTGAGGAGATCATTCAGGCCATCATGTCTGCACTGGCTCTCTGACTGAGCAATATGACTCAATGCCAATCTCTTGCTTTATCCCCATTACTCTTGATGTTGTTTCTATTTAAAAAATAATTTCATGCTGTTGTGAATGCCTCAGTTGAACCTGCCTCCACCATGTTTCCAGGCAGTGCATTCCATACCCTGACATTCTCACATCACACTTGCTTCTTTCGC